ATATTGTAATTATATTTTAATTATATTATTTTTATATGATAAATATATTTAGCAAAATATATAGGTTTCTGTAAAGTAAAAGCCTGATAATAAAATTTTCATAGACGGCGCTCAGTAAATAAACTGAACTTTGAAGTCCGATGACAAGTTTTCCTTTGACAGAACTCGTATCATCACAATGCTAGACAAAGTTTTCCATACCTATATCTGCTTACAGAGAGGTGCTACAGCCTTGAAACTTTCCAAAAAATTAGTAAATAGTTAACCTAGGTTGTGTATTTTTTGGTAATTTTTTAGTTACCAGAAAATTAATTGGGTTCAATAAAAATTAAAAAATTAGAATCATGTTTAAAATTCTAAAAGGTTAGTATATTAAAATTTAATGAATTTTTATATTAGAAACAAAAAACCTGTCTCAATTTGATGAGATAGTTATTGAGAAATTAATTTTTAAATATAATTTTTTTTAATTTTAGTTCTATAGATTCAATGAACTCAAATAAAAAGAAGTTGACCAAAGTTGACTTGTGTGGTTGTCATGATATCTTTGGTTAAAGGTTGATAAAATTCAAAATGTCTATCAAAACAGAAGCTGCGCCAAACTTTTTTCAAAATTTGAACGAAGAAATCTTGAAAACCACCAAGCCAAATTTGATAATTTTTTTATTTTAATTATACAAACTCTAAAATCCAAATAAATAATATTTATCGTATTCAGCTTAGTAGTTGCCAAGATATCTTTTGAATAGTTTGGCGCAGCTTTCATTTGATAGAATTTTGTCAAAGATATCTCGACAATCGTCATGTAAAATTCAATGAATTTTTTATTTGAATTCTATAGATACGTAGAATTCAAATAAAAAAGTTTATTGAATTTGGTTTAGTGACTGTTGAGATATCTTCACTCAAAGTTGTCTTTCGCAAAAATATTCTATAATTTGATTGGTCAAAATCTGGGTACTTATATTGATCATTGCTGTGTGATAAGACAAATTACGTGTTGCTGTGTCTGTGGCTTTTCCTCCTTATACAAGACTCCGTATAGTCTATCCTATCTAAACAGTATACCCGGGGGGCATAAATCAGAAAACCTGTGTAGATTGTAAGAGACCCCGGATACTCTCCATGGCGAAATACGGTGCATGATTGTAATGGGAGAACGACTGTATTTATTATTTATTATTGATATAATGATTTAATTTTTGTGATATAGAACTGGTGAAAACCCAAAATGGGAAACATTTGACAAAGATAGTAAATTAATACCACACTATAGAGGTTTTTACACTTTAGTATATTATTTCTTTTATAAATTCTAATAAGTTCTAGAGAAAAATAATATAAAGATTCTAACCTAAAAATAATTAATAGTGGGACACATTTAGATAAATATTAATATCTTAGCATACTAATAAAGTAATTCTTAACAAATAATTAAGTATTACATAAATATAAGTATAGAACGACGAACCCATTATTCATGCTTTTTCAACAAAAATGAGCTGTAGATATTGTTAGATCATTAATTGACATATATAAAAATGAAGAATATATGCCTGATGGAAGAAGTAGATTATCGAATGGCATTACGCAAGGTGTTCTAATAGTGATATTAATATAGTTGTGGTAAGGCTTAAATCATTATTAATTTCTTCTTAAATAGTATATCTTAATTGATTTTTTATTATATTATTATAATAAGCTGAAACTTATTTAAAATAATTAGGCAGAGATATAATAAATTGTGAACTTGCTTGTGAAGCTTTAATAAAGGACGATGATGTAGACCCTGGTTCACATGGATTATATGAAAGTCGATTATTTTTATCAAAATATCAACAATACGGTTATATATCTTTATCAGGAAGTCTCACGCACATTCACATTGCAGCAGAACTGTTGAATATTCTGCTAATGACTACAGTAACAGTCTTGTTGCTAAAGGTAATAATGAAAATATTTACATTCTTAAATTGATTTTAATTTTATGCATATTAAGATCTAATTTACGAATATTTTTTATTTACAATTATATTAAATACAGAATGAGAGCAAGAAGTTAGGAGAATCTATGGTATCTAATAAGACTTTTGATGATAAATAAAAAACACTTTTTTATTCATTACTTTATATGTTAAGCACATATTAAATTATACATTAATATTATTTATAATAAAAAAGGTGCAAAAGAATTTATCATACCAAGAAATGAGAATGGTAACTTTATACAGACATTAACGTTTTAATAGAACAAGGCAGTGAGTACGTATTCTATGAGGGTTCTTCATGGAAATATAGCTTGGATATACTGTTTGATATGTACTTTATGCAAAATAAGCATTATGGTTTTATGTTCATTCACGATCTTCTATCAGGTTATTATTAATTATTTTACTATTATTTTAAAAATATAGTTGTAAAAAGATTAATTAAATTATCCGGTGGTTCAAAAGAGTTTGAAAGCCATCTTGACAAAACATTTGCTGATAAATCTTATCAAAGTGGTTATTATAATATAGGAAATGAACCCGATTTTTTTCATATTTGCTTATATCATTTTATTGGAAAGCAATATAAAAGTGTTAAGGTTATAAGAGATATTTTAAAAACTAAATTTGGAAGTGGGCAGGATGGAATTCCAGATATGTTATAATTGTTGTAGTGCAAATTTTTTGCAAGAGTTATATAATATTTAATTCGTGATCCGAATGTAAACTAGTGAAAAAGCATAGTAAATTGTGGGGATATGTTTCTATATAATTTTTGCTCTTTTTGGAATCTAGAGCTTTCCAAAGAACAAATCATTTTTTTACTGAGTAAACCTCTCTTTCAATTCTAATAAAAGTTGTAGAGAATGAAATTTCAGTTCTAATGGTAGTTATACTGCTAAAATTGGCTTAGTAGATCAATAGATATAAGTATTTTAATTTTTATAGCTAATGTTTTCTTCTTTATGTAAACAAAGAAGAAAATATATATTTGCAAAAATTAAAATACTTATATCTTATGATCTACGGAGCTGATTTAGTGTTTTAACTACTATTAGAACTGGGATTTCCTTTTCTAGAACTTTTGTTAGAAGCAGAAGAGAAGTTTATGTAGTAAAAAATAATTTGTTCTTTGGGAAACTCTAGATTCTAAAAAAGACTAAATTTAATAGTAAAAATCACTTGATTTTTATATAATCATTCACTGGTTCACATGAAAATCACAAATTAATTATAAAATATAAGGTTTATATAATTTAGCATACCTGTGTTGTAATACATCCACCTGATTGACTAATCAGATTGTAAGATTAAATATAATGTAAAATCAAAAAAATAAGGGCAGTGTCATTTATCACCTGATTTTTTTTTATCAGAAGCTTACCCCCCTCCCTCTCTTAATATATATCTTGATCAGGTCCTTATATATAATTTTAAAATTTTTACACCCCTCCCCTCTTAAAAAATCACCTGATTTTTGTCACGTCCCTAACTATATTTTGAAAAAATCACAGATCTATTATAGTATAGCTTACCCTGGCGTTTCTGAAAATTTTGCCAAGAAATTAACCAATAAGTAAATCACATTTTATAGTTATGTAACCTGATCGTCAGATATGGTACAACATAATTTATACGTAGTACCTCTAAATAATTTGCTATGTATGTTGCGTATTAAAAAAAAACTTTATCACTATTATATACAGTTTATTATTATTGTTATGAATATGTTCTATGTAGGATAAAAAACGCGAAAATGAAAAAGTTATCAGTGTTGAAGAAAAAAAACAAATGAAGCTTTACGAAAGTTATAAGTAAGTTAGAATTAAAGCTGTAAAACCATCCCGGTCAAGATCTCAAGTAGGAGAAACTTTCCAGCCATGATTAAAAAATCAGTGCTTTTTTATTAAATCTCAAGTCCAAGATTTTAACCTTGTTATTATTTAGAGCTTGGAGTTGAATTCAATAAGCATAAAGCGTTTATGCATTATCTGAAGTTAGCCAAGACAGGTAATTTTATTATGGAATTTTTTTCAAACTACCATTTGCTACAATACAGAATCAGTATGAAAAATAGCTATAACAGATTCACAGAGGATAGCGATAGTATTTCACAAAATAATTTACATAGCGCGTTTATTGCAGATTTAGGACTTTCACTATCAACAAGGGATAACATTAAAGAAAGAACATCATGTGGGTTTATGGAGTTCTAGCATCGAAAAATTCAGACAAATGCCATATACAACCACGTCAGAGATTTACTCGCTTGGAATAATTATCGAAATTTTTATAGAAAATCGGTCTTATAATCAAGACTTTGGAATACATCTTCAGATCAAATATGCGGTAATAATTTACAACTGACATTAGTATGAAAAGTGCAAAATATGAAGATATTTTTGTGAACAACCATTACTAGTCAAAAGTTTTAGTAAATCCTATAGCAATAAATTTGTTTATTAAATGCACTACATTACTACGTTCAAATAATTATATGATTTTCAAGAAATAGAAGTTATCTATCTATTTGATTCTTAATATTAATCATAATTATTTGATAGATAGTGGACTGAACGAGTTGATTAAATGTCAATTTTCAAATAGCTGCTAAATTTTGGTAAGTGAAAAATTATCAAATTCTATTCCAATCATTTTCAAAATAATAAAATTTTATAGTAACATATTCTCATTACTACTATCTCTTTTCTCATTCTCTTCATTTTCATCACTACTATCCCTTTCCTCATTCTCTTTATTTTCATCACTACTATCTCTTTTCTCATTCTCTTCGTTTTCATCACTACTATTTCTTTCTTCATTCTCTTTGTTTTCATCACTACTATTCCTTTCCTCATTCTCTTCATTTTCATTCTCATTATTCTCATCATAATTATTGTTATTTTCATTCCTTTCTCCATTCTCCTCTCCTTCGTCCTCTTCATTCTCTTCATTTTCACTATTATCTTCTTCATTCTCATTTCTTTCAACCTCATTCTCTTCATCAATTTCGTCTACTTCTTCCCACCAAAATATCCCGTATTTCTCATACATTCTAACATATTCTCCCAGAGATTATTATGATTCTGCCGGCACCATATAAACTCAAACAAGTAGTCTGAAATTTTAGACCCCGTGCGGCAACTTGCTGGAACCTAAAAAGAAAAAAAAGATTAACTTTTATTATTTCAATGGCAAAATAATATCCAGAAACATTATTTTGAATTATGGCCTAAGTTAAACTTAACACAGGCAATAATCCGAAATAATACTTTTAGATGTTATTTGCACCTACAGATAATTATTTGGGATTATCTATTTCACAGTTAATTTCAAAATTTAAGGACCATTCTAAAAATTTTACCAAAATGTCATCAGGATTCATGCAACATAAAAAATACAATACTATATATGACAATGCATAAATCCCAACAACATTTCGGTGAAAATTTTATGGTGGTCCTTAAATTTCGAAATTTGCCGTAATTAATTGAAAAATACTTTTTTTTTTTAATTAAGTCGACAATTATTTAATGATTAGTTGGTTTAAATCGACTAAAATAATTTATATTACTAACCTGAACTTTAATGCCATTCCAAGTTTCCTCTATAGTATTCATATGAGTGTCTGTAATAGGGTCGACAAAGTTTACACTATAATTCACTGTTTGGTGCTAGAACCCTAAACTAGGACCTATTCTTATATAGCTACGCCACAGGTCTGAATAAATAATAGACACAGAGTGTATGTTTTCTTCAATTAGAGAGAATAGGGTCTCAGCAGATCGGTCATCAACAGCTTTTGCGAATACTCTTCTTTCCGGAGTTCTCTCTACACCACCGAAGACCCAGACTTCCTCTACACGATGCTCACGATTGTATTTTTGTCTACCGAACTTTGATTTGTCAATTTCTACTATAATATCTGGTCCTCCGATTTTATCCTGAGTTTCTTGGACATCAAATCCGACAAGCGTTCTATAATTAAGGATTTTTTTTTAATTAAAAATCAGATTGAATTTAAAAAAAATTAACCATCAACAAATAACCTGTAAAAGCCTATATAGTCTGTTATCGTATTTGGCAAATGGCCTGTAATAGCTATGATTAAATTATGTGGTGCCTTAGAAAGCTATAAATAGCTAATCAAAAGGGCATCATTGACTTTCAATCGATTTTTAGAAAAAATGAGTCCTTAAAAATCGATACACCTTTTCTACATCTCTTTCTTCGGCATTGAAAAATCTTGTTATGCATCGTCATCCTAGCACCACATACTTCACACATGGGCTGTTTATACAAAATCTCTTTACTGAACAAGAAATTAATACAAGCTTTTTCATTAAATAAAATAGATTGGAGTGACGATAATGTAGGTATCATTTTTGAGAAGGTATGAATAATGATGTTAGTACCATTTTTTTGTCTCTTACAAAATTGAATTTTAATGATATTAATATTTACCAATCTACAGATTAAGAATTATATCATAATTTCGTAATAGTGAAAAATAAATTATATGAATCATTGCTTTTCAAATCTTTAATAATTATATGCTTAATATCACGCGTTATTTTGAGATTTTTAAAAGTTGTCATTTTTCGCTAATAGATTTAACTATATATATTTTTTTTTTAGAGATTAGATGACGATTTTTAGAAATGATCATTTTATATTTTTATTTGAGCTTCTTAGAATATTAAAAACAAGAGGTTTGGTGAGGTTAGAGGTGTAAGCACAATACCGTAATTTATTGTAATTATAATGGATTATGACAAAAAATACCATAATTCATTATAATTAAGATGAATTACGGCATTGTGTTCACACCTCTAGGTGAGGTGAGAAAAGGTGTTTATTTTAATATTTTCATAAAATAGTGAATTACGAAGCTAGCTTATAAAAAGTGATTATGAGATGTTATAATGCTTTTAGTTGATAGTAATACTAAGATTTTAAAACAACATTATGCATCATTTAATTGAAAAATGATGCAGGAACATTAAATTAACAATTTTTTTTTTGTAACAATTTTTTAAAAGCCTTTAATTGTATTTTAAAAAAAATCAATCTATAGTATAACAGACGCCAAGCAAAATATCCAACCTATACTATTCAAGAATGCTTTGATCTATATATTTAAAAAACGCTCAATCTGAAGTCTTCAAGAAAAACAGTCAATTCATAGTCTTCAAGAAGAATGGACAATTCATAATGCATAATGCTAACCAACCATAATATTTAGGAGTAGGTAATCTCAAAGCAACAAGATAGCTTATTTAGCATTTGACTACAAATTTCTTTAAACCTATTCATTTAGTTATACATTACTATCGAGAAATTAAAACTCATTAATAAAGATTTTTTCGAAAATATTATCTGTAGATCACTATCAAAAAATCTTAATAAATTTATTATGACTACATCTAATTTGATTCACAACATCTTAATGCACTATACGCATACATATGTGCAAGTTGGTAGTAATAAATATAAAGCAAATAGAATATATTAAAATTCTCAAGTCTATTAAATCACTACTAAAAAAAAAAAAAATTATATATATATATAATATCCGAATTAGATCAAAAATAATAATCTAATACTGCATTTTCTAAAATTTTTAGATTAAATATAAACCTAATCCACACATTTATATATTCGATTACATTACTAGCAAAAGAATCTTTATAGAATTTATCTCTAATTATAATTTTGATTTTAAATTCATTTTTTTTAAATCACATTTTAACCTAATAACTAGTAAAAATAACTTTTTCACATTAAATACATTTTCCTACACATTAAACCTACGCTGCTTTATCAAATACTTAAGCTCTTCATTATTAAGCAACATTGAATCCTACGCACAGTTCCTGTTGCCTTTTCATAAAATATTGCTAATAAAAATTCTCTCCCTTATAACTACTTCTGATCAAAGGCCCTAGAGCTGTATATTAGTCTAAGCTATCTCCTATTTTTTCCCATATCCAAATTTCTCTGGTGTAATATATTCATATATTTTTTTAGTAAGACACATATTCTAAAGTAACGCAACCAACTTATAAAATTGTTTAAGATAAAGCATCTATAAAAAAAATATCAGAAATGTTCTGAATCTATAACTACCTCTCATTGAACCATTACTTGGTCAGTTTCTTCAACTTCAAGCATTACATTAACTTTGTAATCAAGCTTGGTTTGATATTTTTTTTAACCATATTCGAATACTTTAAACTTTGTCTAAGTGTAGCCTTATAATCCTGAACGAATGGTTTTAATGTATTAATAGTTACTATGTGGTGCGTATAAATGTCCAAACTAGAAAGTACAACTCTGGCTACATAGTCGAGATCACTCTAGAAATCTCAAATAAGATACTATGTGAGAATGTGTGATATCTATAAAGTTGAAGTATATTGATTTCTGATTTTTAAAAAATTAAATACTATAATGATAATGTAACTAACTTGAGTAATAGAATTATTTTTCCAGATATTCAACTTCTCCATCTGTTCAGCCGTTTCAGGCAGGCAGTCAGTTTTAATGTGGATATATTGAAAAGTTTGACATAGGAACATATACGTATATACAAAAGAGAATGAGGAAAGGGATAGTAGTGATGAAAATAAAGAGAATGAGGAAAGGGATAGTAGTGGTGAAAATGAAGAGAATGAGGAAAGGGATAGTAGTAGTGAAAACGAAGAGAATGAGGAAAGGAATAGTAGTGATGAAAATGAAAAGAATGAGGAAAGTGATAGCAGTAATGAAAATAGTGAAAATATGTTACTATAAAATTTTATTATTTTGAAAATGATTAGAATAGAATTTGATAATTTTTCACTTACCAAAATTTAGCAGCTATCCGAAAATTGTCAACTCGTTCAGTCCACTATCTATCAAATAATTATGATTAATATTAAGAATCAAATATATAAATAAATAACTTCTATTCATTGAAAATCATATAGTTATTTGAATGTAGTAATGTAGTGCATTTAATAAACAAATTTATTGCTATAGGATTTACTAAAACTCTTGACTAGTAATGGTTGCTCACAAAATTTCTTCATATTTTGCACTTTTCATACTAATGTCAGTCATAAATTATCACAGCATATTTGATCTGAAGATGTATTCCAAAGTCTTGATTATAAGACCGATTTTCTATAAAAATTTCGATAATTATTTCAAGCGAGTAAATCCTTAACACGGTTGTATATTGGCATTTGTCTGAATTTTCTGATGCTAGAACTTCATAAACTCACATGATGTTCTTTCTTTAATGCTATCCCTTGTTGAGAGTGAAAGTCCTAAATCTGCAATAAACGCTATGTAAATTATTTTGTGAAATACTTCGCTATCCTCTGTGAATCTTTTATAGCTATTTTTCATACCAATTCTGTATTGTAGCAAATGGTAGTTTGAAAAAAATTCCATAATAAAATTATCTGTTTTGATTGACTTCAGATAATGCATAAACACTTTATGCTTATTGAATTCAACTCCAAGCCTTAAATAATAACAAGAATAAAAAGATCTTGGACTTGAAAATAAGATTGGTAAAAAAGTGCTAGGTTTTTAATCGCGGCTGAAAATTTCTCCTACTTGGGATCTTGACCACGATGGTTTCACATCTTTAATTATAAGTTTTCTCAGAACTTTCGTAACGCTTTCATTGTTTTTCTTCGACACCTATAACGTTTTCTTTATCTTACATAGAATGTATTCATAATGGTAATAAACTGTATATAACAATAAAGTTTTTTTTTTTAAATTACGTTATTGTTATACCATATTTGACGATCAGGTTACGTAACAGTAACTATAAAATGTGATCTACTGATCAGTTAATTTTTCGGCAAAATTTCCAGAAACGCCAGGGTAAGCTATACTATAATAGATCCAAAATCACTTATAACTCATAAGTTAGTTTCTAAAATTGCCTTTTACATTTTAACAAAAAAATTCATTACAAAATTTTGGGTATAATTAACATATACTTACAATCCAACCTAACTCTATATTAGTATTAACCTTAGTTTAAATTAATATATTAATGATTAGTTTTGATTTTATATTTTATCAGATTTTATAAAACACATTACAATACAAAATATGCCAAATGATAAAATTTAAAATATAAATTAAAATAAAAAATATTTTTTCAAAATTTTATTTTATTTTTTTTATATTAAGATGAGGTTATGCCTCTGGTTTTTATTAACATATTCTTATCCTTTATATATTCACTAATGTATTACTACAGAGACTTAGACTAATTTATCTATGACCTAAACCTACTAGAGTGTTAATATACCTTATACATATCTTACCTAGCTTTGTGCTTTCCAACTAACTATTTCTAATAATATCACATTTTCCTATATTTTACACAACTAGTCATAACTTTTAATTTGGTATGTAAATGTTCACTCCTAATAAGCTTTCAATTTAGTATATCTGCAAGCATAATCTACTTCAAGTTCCTGCTAAAGTACTTTATTCATACAACTGTAATTAATGTAGGTAGCCTTTCTACAGCCTCATATCTCAAGCCAGGACTTGCTGCCTAGTTAGGTTCACTACATAATTAAATTGGTATTATATTGTTGATTAAGGACTTATCTTGGGTTTGCATTGCCTTAATTGGTTTGTATCTCTTCATATACTATTTCTTCTATGAATGCCTTAATCTCTACTTATCTGTTCAAGTACTACTAACCCATATCTCAAGCCAAGTTTTGCTACTGCTGCTAGATTGCCAATCCTAGGATTTAATGTTCTTTTTCTGATATAGTAGTATCAACTAATTCATTTGTACTTTCTTATATAGAATATTATCAGAACTATATTGCATAGCTGTTTTAATGGCCTATCTTGTTAAATATTAGCCTAACACCATGAAATTTCTTAAGTGATAATCAGTTCTACTTCTTACTGTAGGCCTTGAATCATTTTACTAGAAGGTATACATCAATTTACTTTGACTTCCAACTTGATTTTTTATCATTAGTTGGTGTTGCATTATTGTTGGTATATTCTGGCTTCATATATTAAAGACTTCTATATAAATATGACCAGAGCTCTGACTTGGTGCCTTTAGAATATTAGATTAGCTAGCCTACCTTTATGAACTTACCTTCTTTAGTTAGTTGTTCTCTATTGCTAGAGGTGTTTTTTGTTTAAATAAGGCCAATCCTTTATTACAACCCTTTTATATTTTATCGCTTCTCTCACTATTCTAGTTTTAGTAGTATCATATTATCTTTCTAAGCAAGTACTTAGTACTATTTTCAAATTAGGACTAATATATATAATCTGTTGATTATTCTTCCAAGTAAGTATCCCACAAACTAGAGAATTAATTCATGCAATCTTCTATAACTTAGATCTTTTGTAATGCTACTATCACCATGATGCCTGTACTCTATGATCAGAGCTCCTTCTGAAAATTTGTATTTCAGAACTGTACTTGTATTTAGACTTTTCACAAAGCTTCGCATCTGATTATAGCTTTATAAGGTTATAGTAACAAATTCAAAATTTGCCACCAGCCTGACTTGAACTGTCAACTTTGTCTGTGGGAGTTTGGGAGCTTAACCAGCAAGCTATGAAGCCCAAAACTCTTTTTTCAAAATTTTGTAATAACTTAAAAATTATAATTATAAATTATTTTTATACTTAGAAAATATTTTTTAAATTTTACTATAAATAATACCTTATCTAATTCTAATTCTAACTATAATAATAATAAATATTTATATATTTTAATTTATTTTAATTATACAGTAATAATTATATATTATGAAGCAATAAAACTTTAATTACATTATATTATTTTATAGATTTTGAATATATTTTTTTATTCTTTTAATTTATTTATAATAATTTTTTATTTAATAGTAAGATTTTAAAAACTGTTATTATTGTTAATTTAAAAATAATCAAGAATATAGCAACTTAGAGTAGTGGTTAAGTTGTCACCACTAAGCAGCAGGTTTAGTATTTGAATTCAACTAGAGATATTTTTAGAAAAATAGGCCTATGTATAGTAATAATTGTCACAGATTAAAACGAAATCTGATCAAAACGAAATTTTTCTGTTTTTTAAGGAAAATTTAAAATTTTTTGGAGACATTTTTTGGGGTTCTTTTTAGCATTAGGGGTAGGGTTTAGGGTTAGGTTTATTAATAAATGAGTATATGTGGGTTTTATAGGCTCTAAGGGTGGGTATGAGAGGTTCCCAGTTTCATTTTGATCAGATTTCATTTTAATCTGCGACAATAATTATTTAATAATCAGTTAGATATATCATCTGTAATCTTGGTACTATTATCTCAAAATAGAAGCTCTTGGATGATCCAAATCTAAGAAATTAGAATAATTAAAACCTGTTTAACAAAATCTGAGCAAGAAAGTAGTGAAGATCTTTAATATTACTACAGAAAGCTGAAACTGGAGACTGAAGAACTAAACAAAAACTCTGAAGTAAGAAGAGTTTATTAACCTAGCCACTGAACTTGTACTAAAAAAAAGATCCTATACTACAGAATTAAAAACTAAGAGAATAAAATTAGAAAGCATTTATAACCTAAATGCAATGACTTATTTGGGCTAACTGGTTTAGTAGTTTGGAAGAAATTAGTGTATTGAGATCAGAATAAACCTTGTAAAAGCTCAAATACTAGAATTATATGGTTTAATAATTAGTCTTAACTGCTAGTAGTGGTTTTAGCTACTGTAAAAGGTATTCGAAGCCTAATCTAAAAATATATAGAATATAGAAAGATTAGAAATATGTACTATACTGCCTCAAGAGTAATCTGATAGTATAAGAACATTATTAGTTTGTCTATAGTATTAGAGCACAAGTAGTATAGCACATGTTGATTTGGTGACCTTCAATTAAAGCAGCACATGATTATAAGTAGTATAATTGTAATGGTGATGTAGAAAGTAGAATATTTTTTTTTTAAATGCTATAGTTAAAAACTTTATTTATAAGTAGAAGAATACTACATTCAAAGATTTAAAACTACAT